TGAACTGGCCCAGGTATGTAAGCAGTCTGAAGGTTATTTATAGCCAGTATAGGATTTTCTGAAGAATTATGCGAACCGAACCGTACTAGATTGTTAATATCATAGACCACGTTTTAAGTTGCATCCGTTAATGTCAGGATGAACGAACACGTTTGTTGTTCACAGACATACCATAAGAATGCGCGCACGAGGACGAGCGCACGTCAGTATGGCCGTGACGGCGTTAATGATATTTATGTTATATAGCACATTCAATAGGAGTGACTCACACAAGCCAGGCGCGCCGGCCGTGTCGTTTCACTCGTAAACAACAGCTTCAACAGAAGTGACTCATAAGCCAGCTGCGCCGGCTAGTATAAAAAGGCGGAACGTGCCTTGAAATGAACATTCGTTGGACTGCGCTTGCCTGGTGCACTTACTATATCCTTGTTACGTTGTGTGATTCAGTGACTGTTGTACGTACTGGTTAAAGTTGGACAAGTGTTAAAGTGAATTGTTAAGATAACATATTGTTGATTAAATCAGGAATCAAAAGGTGACATCGTTTTACTTGGTGTTCAACAAGATAATATCTACCCTCAAGCTTACATATTATTATAATGAGGACTCACTAAATTTATCAGGGATTGGCTCCAAAGCTGAGCGCTGGATCGCCGCCGAAGCTAAAGTGACGCAAACACAGAAGACTAGCGTTTTCAACGACATGTTGGTCACGAATAAAGCGTGGATTTAAAAATTCTATTTTATATCTTAGACGTGGTTATTGAAGTATGCAGGTGCGTACTCGTGGATGCAGAATTTATTGTATTTTATTTTCTTTATTTATATAAGAAGACTTAAAAGTAATATTACACGCGGGGTTCTTGATAAATAAAAGTTCTACCGAAGTATAAATTGAAGCTGTATTAACACTTAGAACATTTAACCAACACTTTACAATTCGTAATTCCTTCTTCTTCCGCTTCGCTTCACGTGATCCGTTCGCTATTTCGTTTCGAGTAGTTCCAATTAATAACTGACTTCATGCCATCTCTGCAATAGTTGATACAACATCCCTAAACGTATCGAGAACATTCTGCGCAAGTCGAGTAGCTTCGATGTGTGTTTCCGCTATCTGACAATAGATGGCGTTGTACTTCTCGAGCGTTCTCGATGTTACTAGCTCCTTTGATATACGTTTCTGCTATTCGGCGATAGATGGCGCTACTCTTAGCGGCGTAACAGTATCTTCAAGGCCTCGACGCATTTTTGCATTCGGGAGTCCGAGGGTGTCCGCGACATACGCCTCCAGCGTCACATCTCAGAGTCATCAATCCTCTAAGCTTCCCCGACGTAATATAGTCCACGTTTCTGCTTCGTGCTGAAATATGAGGAACATTAATTCATCAGACTTCAATGTTGATGATGTTAAGGTGTCTCGAGACGAAAGTCTTTGACCAGTGTATTGCCAGTGATGATATAGGCAGTGAGACATGGTCGATAGCAACAGGCCTTATCAGAACGGCAATGAAGAGGGCTATACTCGGAGTTTCCCTGCGAGACCGAATCAGGAATGACGAGATTCGTAGAAGAACCAAGGTAACTGACATAGTCCGAAGCATTGTTTTAAGTGAAGATTGGTAGGGCATGTTGAAGAACACATCGCCACTGCACCGGAAAACGCAGCGTGCGTCGCCCATGGACTTCAGCAATGCCAGGGGCAGAGCCAAGCCGCTGCCTATCGAAAGAAAGGTATGCACTTAAATACAGGCAAAAACAGTGTTTTTGTAAAAACTTCAAAATGAGTACCTTACTTAGTACGTTCGATTTAGGTAGAAAACAATAATAAGGAAAACAAGCAAAAAAACAATCGGCCCGAGGTAAATACGTTTTGTTTGGATTACATTTATGCTAATTGACTTCATCAATAACTAAATACTAGTTTCGAGGCTTTTTAGTAGTCAACTGTGCTTTGATTGAATCATCACCTGAAATAGAATGTGGATATTAAAATCGAAAAGTTTTTGTTGCCAAGCAACATTCGCCGTATGGATTTCGAGTTGTGGTTTTAAGAGGATGTTTTTTTAATTATAGTAGAAGTTGTTACTCCTGTCAGGTTGGCTCTGGAAGGGAGAGGCGGGTGGGATGTCGCACCGTTTTTTATTATTGACCTATTTATTTAATCTTGACCGAGATTAAATAAATAGGTTTGAACAAGTTAATATGTTAAATATTAAAAAACTTATTATGTTCACTTTTCCTTACTTGCAAGACTTACCGACAGAAAACAAAATTAGATTTAATATTAATAATGCAATTTATAATGCTTTTGATAATAATAACTGCACCTTGACATCCAAAAAATATGCATTTAAATTAATAGACATAAATAATATAATAAATTCTAGAAATTTAAGGACATCAAAAAATGACTTATTTAAATTAAGTAATAAAAATTTTAGACAAGTAGCAACATCGCTACAGTATTTTATACACAATTTCCTAGCTATAAATTTAGCTAAAAAAATACCTGCTTCTATTGAGCAGGAAAAAAATATGACATGTTTTAAGACTTTGGAATCTGCTTCCAATTTAAATTAATTAATAAGACAANATATACATAGGTTTAAGAAAACTGTTAAAGAACATCTGTGCAATAAAGCTTACTATAAAGTCAATGATTATCTAGAAGATTGCACAAAGTGGGAATGAGTTGCTCGCTCCGGGCATTTCAATATTGTAGTAATTGTTACGTTATAATACTCATTGTAAAAAACTCATATTTAAAAAAAATAATGTAATATTAAAAAATTCATAAATAACAATTTATTAAAAAAAAAAAAAAAAAAACATGCCCGCTGAGTTTCTTGCCAATTCTTCTCAGGACGGAGGCTAGTTCTTGTGAATTGGCGGTAGTTCTTTTGACGTTCAACAAGTATGTACTTTCATTTATGTTGAATAAAAATTTTTTTGATTTGATTTGATTTGATTTGATTAGCACTGTTCCTGTATACTGACAATTCACAGCTTCAGAGTAATATGAATCTATTAAAACCGTGGTCGTCAAACTAAGGCCCGCGGGCCGCTTGCGGCCCCTGGACGATATTTCTGCGGCCCGCGGCAGAGCAAACAATTTTAGTAGAAATAAAAAAAAAACAATTTAATGTATTTACGATCTTTTTCATTACAGATATGTTTTCACGCCTATTCCTAACTAATAAGCTACCCGCGTTGCATAAATAATAATTATAATTGATTTATTTCTGGGACAGTCGCCTTTTGACATTTGATATTAAATATGCCAATTGATTGGTGGTCAACTAAGCAGTCCAAAAATGTGTGGCCCGCAGTGATACCTCACATTGTCCTATGTGGCCCTTGACCAGAAAAGTGTGGCGAACGCTACATTAAAATAACAATAATTATCAGCACGTTTAAAAATTTCCCTCTCCATTTTCCTCACATCCTGCGAGTCGCTTGGATTGTTCCGCAATCACCAACCACTTGAAAGGAAGCTACGGATGTTTAAGCGAACGACTCGAAAAAAAAAATTGTTTTGTCACTCGCAGCGATCATCGCGATCAAAGATTAACTCAAAGTATGCAGTCGGAACAGCGCCCCTAGCGGCAAACGTTGCCTACGTTCCAACTCCATACAAAATTGTGTTAACCTTTACGCTATCGGAACGTTAAAAACTCGCACTGAGCACACTGTAATAATTTCACTAATTACTCGACGACTGTGGTTTGACCTATGTATGTTGCTGTAACCTAGATTGATAGCGTGTATCGTCCGCCGTCAACGGTGGCGAATCGAATCACTGTATTTATTGGGTACTTTATTATCTGATTAATTACGCGAGCACAAAGGTTAGCAAATTTTTTTTAATTTTTTTTTTTATTGCTTAGATGGGTGGACGAGCTCACAGCCCACCTGGTGTTAAGTGGTTACTGAAGCCCATAGACATCTACAACGTAAATGCGCCACCCACCCTGAGATAAAAGTTCTAAGGTCTCAGTACAGTTACAACGGCTGCCCCACCCTTCGAACCGAAACGCATCACTGCTTCACGGCAGAAATAGGCGGGGTGGTAGTACCTACCCGCGTGGACTCACAACAGGTCCTACCGCCAGTAATTACGCAAATTATAATTTTGCGGGTTTCACTTTTATTACATGATGTTATTCCTTCACCGTGGAAGTCAATCGTGAACATTTATTGAGTACGTATTTCATTAGAAAAATTGGTACCCGCCTGCGGGATTCGAACAGCGGTGCATCGCTTCAACGCGAATGCACCGGACGTCTTATCTTTTCCACGACGACTTCAAATGCAATTATCTCATCATAATTTGGTTACTCACAAGCTAGTTGGTGCCTTTTTATTATTTTATTACATAGATAGGTGGATGAGATCACAGCCTTAGTGTTAAGTGGTTACCGGAGCCCATAGACTTCTACATATGCCGCCACCCACCTTGAGATATGAGTTCTAAGGTCTCAGTAAAGTTACAACGGCTGCTCCACCCTTCAAACCGAAACGCATTCGCGGCGGTAATAAGTTTGTAATTATATTTTTTTGGCTGCGTATGTTTAGTTCTATCCTAAGTAAGCGTAAAGAGCTCCTTGATTAACTGAGAAAAGAGAAACAATTAGGAAATAAGGCCTACCTCAGGTATGACAAACTGATCATATTAAAGGATAAAGAACAGCAACATTCTCGTAGTCACAATAATAAAAGAAACTTATCTGAATCACCAGAGTTCTATGTAAACAACCAAATAGTAAAAAAAGATCAAAAACAAACGTACAAAAAGAACAAGACATCAAACATGAAGGATTTTATTATACAAAAACAAAAGTTCAACTATATTCCCACTGAAACCTCTCACGATCAGCCTGAAAACAAACAAAAAAATGGAACACAAATTAACAACATCAAAGAATAACAATTAAGAAAGGCCCCTCCGACACCTCATCTCCCAACCACGGCCGGTCACCGCGGGAGAGATCGACCAAAACCCTCCAGAAAACCCTACTAGGTGAAAACACACTAAAAACGACATATTCCAAGTGGCAACATATAATGTGAGAACCTTATCAACAAATCACCGATTAATAGAACTGATTGACTCTTTGAAAAACACAACATATGACATAGTAGGCCTCTCTGAGATCCGACGTGTCGGAACATCGGTCAAGGGAGTACGACGATTTCATATTTTGTTATAAGGGGGAAACACGAGGATTATATGGTGTTGGCTTTATTGTAAAGAAATATCTCAAAAGAAACATCGTCAGTTTAAGGAGTATCAGAGTGAGTAGCTCTTCTAAAACTAAACATAAATGGATATCAACTAAATATACTACAAGTCTATGCACCCACAGAGGCTTCGAATGAAGACGAGGTGGAACGGTTCTATGATACTATTAATGAAACTTTAAGAAAGACAGTTAAGAACATAATAGTTATGGGCGACTTTAACTCTAAAATTGGGAATCCTAGACCAGAAGAGAGCCTGATAATGAAAAATCATGGATATGGGGTGAGAAATAATAGAGGTATAGAGAATAATAGAGGTGAGCGCCTGATTGATTTTGCACACGAAAATAAACTGAGCATTACAAACACCTTCTTAAAAAAACCAAAAAATTAAAGAAGGACCCGGAGATCTCCAGATGGAAATACAAAGAATGAAATCGATTACATATTAACAAATCTGGATAAAAATGTTCTAAATGTGCAAGTTTTAAATGTGAACTTTCCCACCGACCATAGACTTGTAAGGGCAACTTTTATACTACAAAAAATTACGAAAAGCCGTGCAAAATACACAAACTGTTTAGGAAAACCATTGAAAACCGAGATGGAAATATCATCATACAAACTGTGTTTAGAAAAGCAAGAAGACCCACTGCAAAATAAAGAGGATGCCACTATACAAGAAAACTACGATAATATAAATCGAGGCATAGAAAAAGTCTACGTAGCGCACAAAACACCCAACAACACACTACTGAACGTAGTGTAATATCAGCCTATACTAGGAAACTCATGGATCGGAGACAGCAACTACATGTAACCAAACCAAAAACAAGAGCATTGAAAAATGAACTAAAAGCTTTATATAAACTCATAAGTAAGAACATAAGGAGAGACTACATGCTCCATCGATCAAAAACATTTGAAAAACATATAAGTACTACTGGGAGCATTAAAAAAGCGTATAAGGAGCTAATTACCAACAAGCCTTGGATTAAGCAACTAAAAGAGTCAGATAAACTATCACGTAATAGGATTTATATTATGAAAACCGCAACCAATTTCTACAAAAAACTGTATAATTGTCAAGTCCAAAACTTTACAAATATATCTGTCAGCACCAGCATACAATCACGAGTGGAAGACGTCTCACAGATAAAAAAGATAGATGATTTAGAAGTTATAGAAGGAATTAAAAATCTGAAAGCTGAAAAATGTCCAGGGCCCGATGGAATCACTAACGAGGCAATAAAAATAGGTTCTAAATATTTTGCACATCCTCTGACACAGCTCTTTAACTCTATATTAGATTCAGGCACCACACCTTTTCAATGGTCAGAGTCGAACATGATTCTACTCTACAAAAAGGGCGATCCCACTGATTTAGGCAATTATCGTCCTATCAGTCTGCTACCCACACTCTACAAACTTTTTTCATCAATAATCGAAAAGAGGATTAGTAAGAGAATAGAGGAACGCCAATCAATAGAGCAAGCTGGTTTCATACGTGGATATTCTACAATAGACCATATCCACGCAATCGAACAAATTGTCGAAAAATATAATGAGTATCAGAAACCACTCTATGTTGTGTTTATCGATTATCGGAAAGCCTTCGACACAATCCGACACTCTTCTATATGAACCGCCCTAATCTCACAACGCGTTGAACACAAATATATAGAAATAATAAAGTATTTGTACAACAACTGCACAATTAGAGTCATACTTGAGACGACAGGACCACCGATACCCATAAGGCGAGGTGTGAGACAAGGCGACCCACTATCTCCGAAAATTTTCATAGCGGTACTGGAGATGGTCTTCAGCAAACTAAATTGGGAAAGAACAGGGCTGAATATTAACGGCAATTTCATCAACCATCTAAGATTTGCGGACGATATTATTCTATTATCTGAAAGTGCTAAAGAGATGGATCAATGATACACTCGCTAAAAACTATGAGCTATGAAGTGGGTTTGGAAATGAATTTAGATAAAACAAAAATTATGTCGAACAGTATAAAACATCCCATATATCTCGACGAAAAACCATTAAAATACGTAGATAGCTACATATACTTAGGCAAACAAATTTCCTTTGGAAAACAAAACAATGAATTAGAAGTTGAACGAAGGATTTCAGGCGCATGGAAAAATTCTGGAGTCTAAAAGACATACTAAAGGGAACGATGCCTATTAACTTAAAAAATAAACTAATGGACACATGCCTACTCCCCTCTATTACCTACGGTTGCCAAACGTGGAAATACACGATACGCTTACAGAACAAAATCAGGTCCTGTCAACGAAGTATGGAGAGAAGCATTACGAATGTGAGAAAAATACAAAAAATCCCACATAATGTCATACAAAAAAAGACTAAAATTATAGATGCACTAAATTTCTCACAAAAGTTAAAGTGGCGCTGGGCAGGCCATGTAGCCAGGATGAGCGATGACCGCTAGACCTGTAAACTCACGCTATGGCGGGGGCCTGCAGGTATTAGAAGGAAAGGAAGACCGGTAACGCGTTGGGACAACGATATAATAAAAATCGCTGGTAAAAACTGGAAGACAATTGCCAAAAATAAAGACAAATGGAAAAGTCTGGAGGAGGCCTTCACCCTCCCATAAGAGGGGTTCTTGCATGCCTGCACGCTAAATTAATATAACCTTTTTTATATCTTTTACTATAATTTTATGAACTTAAGCGATCCGACTAATATTATACACATTATATTAAGAATTCTATTATAATTAGTATCTATTATTATTAACGTATTATTAACAATTTGTATAAGTTTTGTAATGTAACTTTTTTTTTAAATGCAAGAAATAAAAGGCTTTTTATTTTTATATTATTATTATTTATTATGTTTAGTTCTGCGCATACAGATCAATCAATTACATCATGTCATAAGCGGATAAGACGCGAAACCAGATGTACCACATCTTGAATGATTCTGCTTGAATTCTCTGCGGCTCGTTTTGGCTCTGCGGCGCCCCCCGCAGTCTACAATTTTTTATATATATATATATATATATATATAATATATTATATATATTATATATAAATTTTACTATTAATATAACGGGACGGGAGAAGATCACGCGGACGCTCACCTATACGCTGGTCTGATCTGGTTAAGACGCTCACCGGCCTGCCAATATAAAGACCGCCGTGGACAGGAAGACGTGGGGAAGCATTGTGCATCGAGTGGTCCACATTTTAGATTAGACACGACCTTCAGTAATGAAGAGACCGACTCAGAAGAAGAAGACTAATATAATATTAAATAAATTTCGTTGAAATATCGCTTTTGGTGTTTTCTTCAGTTTTAGCGAGTCGTAGAAGCAATTAAGATTAACTTTATGGCTATCGTGCACACGAAAACTGTAAAGTATATTCGGAACGTCAGAAATAATAATAAATGTATTATTAAATAATAAGAAATTATTAATTTCTCATAACGCATTTTGTTTTTTTTTAATTAGAATACAAAAGTTATAAGTATGGTACTAAATAGGTTAGGTTAGGAATATTGTGTTCTTTTTTTTATAATAAATAAATTGGTACTAAATTACTGTTAAGTGTTTCGAATATGTAATAAAATTAATAAAGTTTTACAAATCATATAATTCATTATATAAATAGACATTGACTATAAAGTACATATTTTAAAAAACAAACATCAGTTACAACATTACAATGGACGAGACATTTTACCATTCGTACATTTCAATTAGGTACATTAACTACATTATACCATTTTATTTTTAAACTATTAAAACTATTTTATAATCATTCAGTCGACACTAATTCCGTTGGATTAACTAAGTCAGGGCACTTGATGCGTGGGCAACACTCAGGATAGGGCTTGTCCTTATCTTCTAATACCTCACACGGTTCTGTTGCTCTCATTAATCCGCATCTGGAAGATTGAGAAGATTTGACACATTGTAGCTTCGAAATCGTCTAAAAGGGCTTCTGAAATATTTATGTTATTAGGCAGTGGTTCGAAACTTTTACATTTGATATCTTAATTGTATTATGACATCGAGTCTCTTATCCACGAAGCTGAAATGCAAGACTGCTTCGCAGAAGTTTTAAGCATAAGAACCATTTTTTTATCGCTTATATGGGCAGTACTAGCTCAGAGCCCACCTGGTGTTAAGTGGTTACCGGAGCCCAATGACATCTAAAACGTAAATGCGCCACCCACCTTAAGATATAAGTTCTAAGGTCTCAGTATAGTTACAACGGCTGCCCAACCTTTCAAACCGAAACGCATTACTGCTTCACGGCAGAAATAAGCAAGGCGGGTTACCTACCCGTGCGGACTCACGAGAGGTCCTACAACGAGTAAAAAGCATGTCTATTAGCTACTTATTTATTTGGCTTCGTCTGCTTATCATTCCACATCAGTGCAACTGGCGCGTCACAAAATATACTATCAATCATGTGACCGATATAAATTTTTTTAGGCAATAACGCATTTTAAGTGGACGAAATACTATTTTTTAAAATATAAATACATTCGAAAGAGAACGCTGTGAACACGAATACATTTGAAGGATAGCTTGGTTCATTTAAAAACATGCCAGACTTTAATCCTCCGACATATCCCGCCCGCCATCCCCAGTGTAGAGTGGGAGTCCGGCGATTACCTCCTGACCAAAAAAAAAGACTTTAATCTTGTCTCCTGATGAATGCTGGCTTAGTTTTAGTAGGTTTCGATACTCTATATGTATATGGATAAATGCGCCATAAATTCATTGGCATGTACAGGCTAAAAAGACCCCGAGTTGTAATACTCACGAGGTGTAAGTAACCGCTTTGATGTCACACGATATCTCCTGGCATTCCGTGTTGAGTGTTTCATTGAAAGCTAACAGGACGTCTAAATCTGAAATATAGCAGCCCTCAGCATCCTCTGTAAGTGCGCGGAAATTAATTTTATTATCTTAATAATACAAATTTAATTTTTTATGTGGGGTAGGGATCGCAACGCAAAAAATGAAACTTCCACTGTTCCAAAATCTTCTGTAATAAAAATAATTAAATAATTATTAGCACTTTAATTACGCCTTTCTTAGTTTTTCTCTGTCATTCTGTCAGTTATTCTCTTTTGCCTTTCTTACCGTTTTCTCGTATTCACATTTTAACGTTCCATTCCACACTCTATTCATACGTTCCGTCCTTACCAATCCTACATTTCTATCAAAGAAAACTAAAATTGAAAAGAAAGACACATTAATTTTCATTGTCATTCATCAGATATTTGACTAATAGATTAAAACCACTCCTCCACTACGCATCATCAGGTGAGTTATGGATTTAGTGGACAGCTTGTCTGATTTTGAGAACAAAAATTGCGCGCTAGAAGTTCATATTTTTTTTTAGAATTTAATCTTATTCTCCCGCTTCTGCCGTTTTGTAAGTTAGTCTCTTTTTATGTCGTTTTTCGAATCATTTCCTTTTCATCTAATTATAAATCACAACTTCGATAAAAATCTTACTTCAAAAAGGTATATGAGTCTGTATTCACCTTTTAAGGATCATGACGATTTAAAAATGTTTCACTTAAAAAGCCTTATTACAAATAAAAAAAAACATATGTAATTAATAAAAATGATTACCTATGTAATTATTTTTTTAAATTGAGACTTCGATCAAATCTCAAGCACTAAATGTTACTAAAGTAGCAGTCCTTAATTTCAACAAATTACATAAATTAATAAGAACAATTTGAGTTATGACTTCATTTCACTTTTAGGATATCAAACGCCCATCCATTCATGATCCTGCCTCTATTTCTTCTTCTGGGTCTCTCCACCTTACATTATTTGTAGTGTCTGTCTATATTTTTAGTGTTGACCTTGTTTCTTGATTTCGATGATATACTTATTATATTAAATAATATTTTTTGTGTTTCATTGTAACGTACCGAACAGCTAATTGTATGTTATAAATCGACTGCTAGATACTACCCGTGCGCTATCTATCTAGAAATCTAGAAATCTATCAAAAACTGTACCAAGTAAATGACAATTAGATGAAAGACTGACGAATTTAGGACACATGGAAATGTTAATTTTTATTGGAACGAAGTTCCCTACGGCAGGCATGGAGGAGACAGGGATTTTGCTGCGCGACCCAACTGAAAAAAATGTGATAGTAAAACCGAAAGAAAAATTCCGTGGAATAAAACCGTTAAATGAGATGTGCGCAGGCGCGACAGTCGTATACACAAGCGAGTAGTGTATAATACCTTTCTCTTTCTCCTTCTTTCTTTTCGTTCTCTCATCCCTTTTCTATTTCTATGTAATTTTATGTTGTCAAACAAAAATAAAGAGACATATTTTGTTATTTTAATTGACAATTTGAATTACGATTTTTTTTTATTTTACGTAATTTATTATTTCCTAAAATACTGAATTTCCTAAATACTTTCCTGTACTTAAATAAAAACTAATCAGCAAAATTTAAGAGAAAAATCAAGAAAACCAACATAAAATTGAGCACGTTTTTTTTTTTGCAAATTGTGTCGATTCTACATTAGCCGAAGGAACTTCGTTCCTACCTGGTGTCCCAAGACACCACATCTTTTTTTATGTATATAGAATAGGTTCATTTAAATGTAGACTATATAAAAAAAAAAAGTGGAATTTTTATTTCACACGTCGAAATGTCATCTTAAGATTTAATCTATTCTGAGGCATTCAAATGTCTTTGTAATGATCGAGATTATTAGCATTATATTAAAATAAGAACCAGTTTTGCTGACTAGACGTGCTTCAATTGTGGTTTTTTTTTTCGCTTGAGGTACGTAAAATTCTTTGATTAGCATTATGATATTGTTTATTGCGGGTTAGATGATACTTTATAGAGGATGATCGTGGGCGAAAAATTTGCCGAAAAGAAGACATTAATTGCGATGATCTGACTAGGTCCGCTCCAATAGAGAGTTAATCATAGTGAGATCAGCAGAAGACCAAGAGGGAATCGCTGTAGTGAAAAGCATTTGAAGTCGTCGTGGCCTAAAGGATAAGACGTCCGGTGCATTCGTCTTGAGCGATGCATCAGTGTTCGAATCCCAGGCGGGTACAATTTTTTTTAATGAAATACATACTCAACAAATGTTCACGATTGACTTCCACAGTGAAGGAATAACATCGTGTAATAAAAAATTATAATTTGCGTAATTACTGGTGGTAGAACCTCTTGTGAGTTCGCGCGGGTAGGTACCACCGCCCTGCCTATTTCTGCTGTGAAGCAGTAATGCGTTTCGGTTTGAAGGGCAGGGCAACCGTTATAACTATACTGAGATAGAGAGATAGAGAGATGATCTTAGAACTCATCTCTCAAGGTGGGTGGCGCATTTACGTTGTAAATGTCTATGGGCTCTAGTAACTACTCAACACCAGGTGGGCCGTGAACTCGTCCACCCATATAAGCAACAAAAAAACACACACTGTTAATTTACACACTTAGGCATACAGACAGACGAAAGGACTATAACTATAAAGAAAAAACTATATGTGTTGCTTTTTGACTACAGAACATTTAAAACTGCAAAAGTACAGGTAGATCGGTATTAGGTTATATTAAAGGAAATCGTAATACATATTACCGACCCATATGGGCTCCAGTAACCACTTAACACCAGGTGGGCTGTGAGCTCGTCCAACCATCTAAGCAATAAAAAAAAACATTGCAGTTGAACTAAAAGTTGATGCCAAATGCTAATATGAAGCAGTTTGTCTACAAATTGTTAAGACAGAGGCTGTCTGTTGAAGACTTTCAAAATATTGTCCTATTAGATTTTAAAGTGGGTTCTACAATAGCGGGTGAACAACGGCAATTTTAGGCCACTGCCTAGAGCAATTAGATCAGATCTTCCAAAATAAATTTGGATTAATAAGAATAATACAATATTAGACTCGCTAAGCGCGTACTATTAGGGGGGCGCTGCCTTTGTTTCATCCGATTACCCAATAAAAAATTCAGTTCTCGACTGCCCGCATTCTAGATAACGGGAAAAATTATCAGGAATGAAAAGCATGTCTTGTTTCATCTCAAACAAATTCTCACTCTCCATCTAGCAAATGATATCAAGCGCATACAGCATAAGTCACTCGGAGGCCCGTGGACAGCTGACTCTCACTGCACACTGCGTGTTTTTTTCGCAATGCAAGACAGGACTAGATGGTAGCTAGATGAGTAGTCTTCTCATAGTCCATTCATTTTCGACAATTTATAGATATTTTGGCGAACACTTACGGCTGATGGCGTAACTCATCTCATTCGAAATACTGGTGGTAGAACTTCGTGTGAGCTCGCAAGGGTAGGTACGCCACCCTGCCTATTTCTGCCGTGAAGAAGTAATGCGTTTCGATTTGAAGGATAGGGCAGCCGTTGTAACTATACTGAGACTTAGAACTCATATCTCAAGGTGGGTGGCAGCATTTACGTTATAGATGTTTATGGGCTGCGGTAGCCACTTAATACTAGATGGGCTGGGAGCTCGTCCACACATATAGGAAAAAAAAATGTATATATATTCAAAACCGACTTCAACCAAGTAAATTGTGAATATCATCAATTTAGTCGAAATGAACTGAATATTTATTGTTACCGATAACTCAAAAATTATGCGTCATATCTTGAGAAAATTGAGACTCCAATAAGAAGCACCAGTTTTCAATTAAAAAAAAAAACAATCATAAAAATTGGTAAATTTAGAAAAAAGTTATAATAAGGTAATAAACATAAAAAATACGATCGCTTTTTCGCAGCTTTTTCGTTTTAAAATCTGTTCAAAAAGAAATGGGTGCGTTATCCGGGCGCAAGCGAAAAATCGCTAGATAATTTACTAATCAAAACCTAACCTAATTTTCTTACCAATAAATGCGAGTTTGAATCGAACGAAGTTCTGTCATGACTGCGGTTTGTGAGGACAGCAAACAATTTACCAATACAAGACTGTAGTAGTTTTAATATTAACAAAACTAATTGTTGTACTCACTTAATTTATCCGGTATCGGTTCTAAAGGACCTATAGTTATCGAAGTCAGTACCACTGACACCAGAGCCCAACACACAGCGGCGCCTTGCCACATCTTGCACTGAAATGGCGCCTAACGCATTCAAGCAAATGCCAAGAGGTCGGGTGGCTTTTAAATAGGTCGTTAAAGAGTGATTTATGGCAATGGATACCTACTTATACATATATGCATATATATATTTTGTTCACGATTGACTTCCACAGTGAAGGAATAGCATCGTGCAATAAAAATCAAACCCGCAAAATTATAATTTGCGTAATTCTGCCTTAATCAAGGATGTCTTGAGTGACTCCAAATTGGGATGAGGCTTTGAGCACGCCTTTTCCTCCAAGTGTTGCCATATCTTGTAATCTAACGGATTCTAATCTGGACTGGTGGTAGGACCTCTTGTGAGTCCGCACGGGTAGGTACCACCGTCCCGCCTATTTCTGCCGTGAAGCAGTAATGCGTTTCGGTTTGAAGGGTGGGGCAGCCGTTGTAACTATACTGAGACCTTAGAACTTATATCTCAAGGTGGGTGGCGCATTTACGTTGTGGATGTCTATGGGCTCCAGTAACCACTTAATATCAGGTGGGCTGTGAGCTCGTCCACACATCTAAGCAATAAAAAAAAAAATTGTATATTTATTGCATTGATTTGTGAACGAGATCACCCACCATGTATTGAGCTAGCCCACTGAGTTTCTCGCCGGATTTTCGTAGTGGGTCGTGATTCCGATCTGATGGTCGATACAGAAAAGCACTGCTCTTGCTAGGGCTAGTGTTAGCAAATTTTCTAAGATTGAATCCGTGAGCTCACCTACTAGCTAGAGCATAGCTGCAATAGGCTCTTAAGTTACCAGCGAATAGGTAGGGAAAATATGTATTAAGCGAATTTCGAATAATATGCGACATTTATCTTATCTATATATTACTACGTGAAGCAAAAACTTTGTATCCCTTTTTACGAAAATTGCGCGGACGGAGGAGTATGAAATTTTCCACACTTATAGAGAATATAGAGAAGAAGTGCACAATGCTAATATTTTTTTAAATAATGCATAAAAGATACATTAAATCAATAAAGAAAACGTTACACACACTACATACCATGTATTTGACGCACACACGCATGCATACTATTTATTGTCAAACTTTTGTTCTTGACGTCTGTTGTCAAATTGAGAATAGATTAAATATTGTTTGTGTTTGTTAATATTTTTTATAGTGTAGTCTTGGCAAAATTAGTGATTATAGAAGTATAAGATACAATCATAGCAGTGTACAAACTTACAATTCCAATTAATTATAGTCGAATGTCGACTACTGCGGGACCTCTAGTACCTTTAAATCTTTGTAATAAAAGGTGCGTTTTATTTAGTATTAGGATCAACAGTTCGAGGTTTTTAATTGAACTTCAATTAAGTTTACTCTATTCAAAACTCTAATCAAATAACTGAAGAAGTTTTTTTTGTTAGGATATATTTTATCCATATTTTAAACTTGAAATGGTTCTCATGTAAATTTGCAAATATGTTGCTTAAACCAAATAGCCTTTCACCACTCGAAGTAGTTGTCGCTCGAAATGCCGCCTCCCACCTTGAACTATAAAATCTAAGTCGCAATTTTAAGTACTTTTTATATCTGTTCCACCCTTCAAAGCGCACGATAGATAGACCGATACACGTAATTTCGGATCCTCCCGATCCACTAACGGTGCTTCTAGGTACCTCAAGCACCGGTCATCGTTCTCGTCGAACGCGTCGTTTGCGACGAAGGGCTCGGCGAGTAAACTAACCCACAGACACAGCCCACTTAGGTTCTCGCCAGATCTTCTTAGTCGGTCGCGTTTCCGATCCCCCAGTAGATTCTGCGAAGCACTGCTCTTGCCATGGCTAGTGTTAGCAACGTCCACAGGTTAGAGACCCGTGAGCTCACCTACTCACCTGGTGTATATATTATGAAGTAGTTAAAATAGGAAGGGAAATTTTTTTTAGAACGATACGTAGAGAGAGAGTAGATAGGATGAAAGGCGATTGCATGCAGCAGAGATGCGAAAGTTGCGATGGATGTGTGGAGTAACGAGAATGGATAGAATACGAAATGAATATGTTAGAGGAAGTCCGAAAATGGGCACATGAGACAGAGAAGTTGAGAAGTGCGCGTTAGGGATGGTAAGAGAGAGAGAGAGTGTTAACTATGAATGTGGAAGGATATAGATGAAGAGGTAGACCTAAGAAGAAATGGATGGATTGCGTGAATGACGATATGTGTAAGAGGGGAGTGAGCGAGGAAATGGTATATGACAGAGGAGTATGCAAGGAGAAAACATGTAGCGCCGATCCCAGGTGACTGGGAGAAGGGCAGGAAATTGATGATACGTAGTTTTCGCATTTGGTCTGGTACTTCAACGAGACTAGTTGAACAAAGAAGGGCTGGTCATATGGTAGTAGTGGCTGTTGTTTTGATGCATTCGCTTTGTGATTATGGACTTCGGTCTCCACTTGACACGAATTGTAATGAAAATAAAACAATAAACAAATATATTATTCGGCTTGTACCACGGGGAGCGCTCTGGGGAATTTGGACCATTTGGGCCATACGAACAAGGTGCCATGTCTACTGCCCAGAATCACTGCATTTATCTTCAATTCAATAATATTTACTTTTTCAAAATTAATAAAATGTCTTTTTTTGAAAGAGTTTCACAAATTTTTTTAAACGATAGGCATCTGTTACCTTGGTATTGCCTATGTCCATAAGCGATGGTGGCTATTTAGTATCAAAAAGGCCCGTGCGCTTGTCTATCTTTAATGGCAACAACAAAAGCATATTCGAATAGTTTAAGTTTTGATAACGTAACAATTCACAATCGGAAACAGATACAAGACACATTAAAATTTATTTCCATAAATTTGTATATAAATAGCCTTATACCTAATTCTTGATTCAATGATAGTTGATTTATAAACAAATCTAGACGTTTTGTTGGCGTTGTATCGGTATTTTGAAGACAAAAACATCCGTCAACGTATTTTTTTGAATTAATATATTATGTAAAGAAAAACCTTTATTATTTAAAACTCTTTAGTTTAAAAAAAGGATTTTCTTCAGTGTCATGGACTGAAGTCTGTCTCATTCAGTAAAAAAGAGAGTACTGTTTCATTATTAATATTAATTTTAAAAGATATTAAAGGCTTTAAATGTTGTTTTCTTATTATATCACAGAAAACACAATCAAGTCTTTTATTGTTTATTCATTCTGAAATACTCAATATCATTATAATGTACTCGCCCGCTTCGCTCTACATTTAAAACTAACATTATTATTTATTGTCATTTTTATTAGTAGGAAGTCCAACACTCATATAAATAATAGCCTATCCATTAAGTACATGTATTTCCTACATGGATACCAAGTTTCAAGTCAATCGGATGCATGGTTCAGTAGTTATAACGGAACATCCGTAAAAACAAATTTTTATATTAGTATAGATTTGTCGGAGACGGTCATTAGTTTGGTAGCAAAATGAAACGCGGCACGATTCCCGAGAGGTGACAACACGATCGCAATGTCGTCGGAACTCTGCTTCTTCGTGCTACGACAGAGCCTGTGTTGAGTGTAGGTATCTTTGAATGCACCTCATTCTTTTCAGTTTCTTGCCTTTCGCATCCATTCCCACCCAACCATTTTGACCAGGTCCTCGGCCCACAACGTTGGCTGTCTGCTCACGTTACGACGTCCAGTACGAGGTCTCCACTCCAGTACTTCTGTGCCCCACCGACTGTCAGCGCGACGGTATACATAGCCGCCGCTTCGACCGGTATGCTCATTTGATTACTACTAATATAAGGAGATAAGTTGGACTCTCTGACTCCTGTAGTACCACTAAAGAACGCAACGGTAGGCAGCGGCTTGGCTCTGCCGCTGGCATTGCTGAAGTCCATGGGCGACGGTGATTTTGGCATCGTACCCCGCTTACTATGTATCACACCGGTCACCGTCCTCGTCGAACCCGTCGCTTGCGACGAAGGGCTCTATGAGCGAACTAACCCATAGACACAGCCCACTGAGTTTCTCGCCGGATCTTCTCAGTGGGTCGCGTTTCCGATCCGGTGGTAGATTCTGCGAAGCACTGCTCTTGCTAGGGTCAGTGTTAGCAATTCTCCGGTTGAGCCCCGCGAGCTCACCTACAAACGTTAGGGCGAAGCTGAAATAGCCTCTCAAGGCTATCAGCATAGGTAGGGAAAAAAAAAAAAAAGTATCACAGTGTACTTACTACTAGTATTGTTGAACTGAAAAATGTATATACTACGGGAATGCCTAAAATATTTTGTATTGCTTATTCTCATTGTAGTTTTCATAGATACGTACATATACAGGGTGTGAGACGTTGAAAGAAGAAAATAATTGTTTTGAATTATAATATTGTTGTTCCTTAATATATTAGTCTTGATATGTTGTTTTTGCTGTAGTCTTATGGCAGCCGCCTGGTATGTAGAGACCTCACAAGTTGTCTCCACTTCAGCCTGTCAGACCCAGAGATGTTTGGAGAAAAGCGACGAGCTTGCATTATGTAGTCGAGCTTCCAAATATCCACCTCACAGCTTACAATGTGTTCAATGCGAATTTTTTAACGTTTTCAATAGCGTAAAAGTTAACTCAAACTTGTATGCAGTTAGAACAGAGCTCCTGACAGCGAGACTGAGAGCGACAACCGTTCCAACTGCATACAAATTTGAGTTAACTTTTACGCTATCGAGAGCGTTAAAAAACTCGCACTAAGCACACAGATCATGTCAGCAGTTAGTAATACAATAGTGTGCGTATATACATTATTATCACCTATGCGAGTGTTTTAGCTTCTCGATGGCGTAAAAGCTAACTCACATTTGTATGGAGTTGGAACAGCGTCCCTAACGGCAAACGAAGGGAAGCATATCCATACGAATATTAGTTAACTTTTACGTAATCGAGAAGTTAAAAAACTCACACTAAGCACACTGCTGTCGACAAGATTCGCGCGCCGATTTAAAGTTGAACATAAAAATTAATATCTTCGAGAGTAAAATAGCAAACCACAATTTTACAATAAAGTAGGTAACAAAGAAATAAAACATAAAACTCATTCATTTTCATTGCTTTATTCTATCTCGTTGTTGGTAACTTTTATTTTATTTTGCCGTTTCCACCGATTGATCATTTTTGGCACAAGTTTTGGCTTAATTAATTAATACGCTTATACATACAGAGCGCTTGAAAAGAAAAACGTAATTATGAAACTTTGTCATGATCCAACATGTGTAAAAGGTGTAATGCTTAAATGGTACTTATGAAAAATAAACAAGATAATACCACCAAGTTGTGTTTTACGTATTTCTTGTTTGGTTTACTGAATTTCGGGTTCGATTCTAAATTTGTACGCCTGGCGAAACTACCCGTTTCTTTCTAATACGATGATTTAGAAAGAGATGCTCGATCTGATTAACGGGAAAACCGACGTAACACGAACCCGAGATATAACGTTGAGGTTAATTGATAAACTCGTAAGAAAAAAAAAGAGATAATTTTTGCGCATGGAAAATGTTTCCCGTGTCGAATCTTCCCCAGTAAGGCTCTTTTAGATAACTATTTATTGGAACGCGGGATGAAAATTGTTTCTCGAAAGCCACGGAAGGTTTCGCCTGACCGAATTTCATGGAGAAAGGAATCAAAGTAATTTACAGATTACGGTCTTGGAATTTCAATTAAAATAAATAATTTATAAATGTCGAATTTCATTTTACGTTTCCTTATATTAAATAAATTGACTAAATTATTTACAAACATAAATATATTTAGGAGTAGTTTTTAAATATCTTGGAATATAACATTTTTCGTTTGCCGAATACATAATTCGCATCGAAGAATCGATCGCAAGGGGTGCCGACACGTGTAAACAAAAATAAACGTGATCTTTGAAAACGTCTGACATATATATATTTCACGAACAATTTGTAATTAATTTTCAAAAGGAACAAACATCTCAGCTGCTTTATTGACATCGATATACATATATATATATACAAGAACAGTCAGAAAGATATCATTTAAAAGAAATCATAGATCGTAGAGTAGATTTAACCCTTTGACTGATGTGTAGGTTATCGGTGTCCTAAGCGACGCACTGAAGTAATTACGTCGATTTCTGTTACTAAGCGCCTGGACTGCCTAACTTTGTCTTCTTTTGTTTTTAATGGATCCATTATAGTATTTAAGGTCTCTTAGAAACAGATTCATTCTCAGTATCTTCAGGTCTGAAGAACGTCGTGGCCTAAGGGATAAGACGTCCGGTGCATTCGTGTTGAGCGATGCACCGGTGTTCGAATCCCGCAGGTGGGTACCAATTTTTCGAATGAAATACGTACTCAACAAATGTTCACGATTGACTTTCACGGTGAAGGAATAACACAGTGTAATAAAAATCAAAACCCGCAAAATTATAATTTGCGTAATTACTGGTGGTAGGACCTCTTGTGAGTCCGCACGGGTAGGTACCACCACCCTACCCATTTCTGCCGTGAAGCAGTAATGCGTTTCGGTTTGAAGGGTAAGGCAGCCGTTGTAACTATACTTGAGACCTTAGAACTTATATCTCAAGGTGGGTGGCGCATTTACGTTGTAGATGTCTATGGGCTCCAGTAACCAATTAACAGCAAGTGGGCTGTGAGCTCGTTCACCCATCTAAGCAACAAAAAAAAAGGTTCGTTTTTCCCAAGGTCTACTAGATATTTTGTGGCCTTAATAACATACATAATTACTTCAGTCCACCACGTAGGGCACCGGTGACCTATATATCAGTCAAAGGGTTAACGTCAATAAGTGTTTAATTACAGCAATCTCTCTAACAGTTTGATCACAAACGAACGTTGATAGTACAATTATGGAGTTGATTTACAAATGGCAGTGCAATACGATTCATTGGTAATTCTCATTAAAGTACCAAGTTTGGTCAAATTGGTCTTCCACAACGCGGTTATTATTTTAAAATGTCTTTTGCCCTAATGACGGACCACTATTAATCTTTAGAGTCGGACCGATCGACACTTCTCATTTCCACTCAGACCAGACAATATTAATACAACACTAACATTCTAATATTCTTATATTAAATTAATTATTGCTTCACATTTGGTCTGTCGTATTCTCGAGTAGAAGTTCCCAAGTCGCGAGCGACTCTTGCGTTCTCCTTCACTCCTTTAGTTTAAGAGGAACCAAAGCCCTCACTTAAATCGCTCTATCAGCAACAAGACTATGAGTACAGTTCTAAAAAACAGGAACACTAGTTCAACTAACGGGTCATCCGTCGTCGTATATAAAGGCATTCGATAGGATTCGTCCTGAGATCACGTTCTTAAAGATTAAGTACAAACTATTATTGCATGTTTAGAATTGCACTGTTGCGTTTTTGATTACAATTTATCGACACATGAAGTCTCTCCGGCGCACATTATTGTCCATACACAGGGAACGTGCGAGGATAATCGCTGGGCGACTAGGCCTGTTCAGGGGCTTGCAAACGAGCGACAAGGGTCTGTTTGACGCGAGTAAAGAATCGCTTGATGGTTCGCAGGCGAGGGCGCGGGGCGCGTCAGACGGGCGGGTCCATGTCGCGCTGTAAAGACGTTAGTCACGTATGGAACACCCACCCGGGGATCGGAGGTCACGCGTCCGGGACGCCGTGAATGTGGTGCTGGTAGTTGTGGTTCAGCTTGTTCGCGAACTCCTGCATTATATCCCTGAAGATGATCGAGTCGAGGTTCTCTCCTAGTATGTAGAGCAGATACCAGTCTCCCATCTTGCTTCTCCTCACTATGGTGTCGATATTGTCCCGCCTCACGAGTCGGAACCTCATTCGCATCATGTAGACGCGCATGCGCGGCGAGAAGATGATGATGATCCTGTAGATGAGCGTGATGAAAGTAAGGAAGCCGAGGATGACGAACCAGAACCAGAGGAAGATGTAGATCTTCTCGTTGACTACGTTCAGGGGCAAGATGCAGAGCGCGTCGTGCCGCTCCACCTCGCCGGATGAACCGAATTTGTTGAAAAGCGTACACTTCACCATCCTGGAACCAAAAAACGACAAGTTGTTTAAACCTAGTCCAATAACTGCGGAAGCCGTTGACGAATGGGATGGGTTTTTTTTTTGCTTAGATGAGTGGACGAGTTCACAGCCCACCTGGTGGACTGGTTACTGGAGCCCATAGACATCTACAACGTATAAGCTGCCACCCACCATGAGATATCAGTTCTAAAGTCTCAGTATAGTTAGAACGGCTGCCCAACCCTTCAAACCGAAACACATTACAGCTTCACGAAAGAAATAGGCAGGGTAGTGTTACCTACTCGCGCGGATCTACAAGGTTTCCTACCACCAGTAAAAACTAAGCCCGGAAACTAAGACAAATATGTAATAGACAAACAGTCGGCTACTTAATATATCTATAATCTATTTCATATATTAGGAAATCTCACAGGGTAGGTATATGTTTAGTACTCATTTTTCAGTGCACGCAATGTAAAATAATAAATTTCGAGGTCAACGACCTCGACCAAACGAACGAGCAGAAAATATTTTTTGAGCAGGCACAGGTTTGTATTACTCATAAATTACCGTCTTTTTAGCAGACACACCTGATTGTACCGTATTGTTGTATGTATTGATAAGGTTGATTCGGTCTGTAGTTAGTACAAGAGCCATGTCGCAGTGGTTCATTGAGTGTTGGCGATTAAGTCGCTTGATTAAGTATTTGTCTCTGTATGTTCTTTTTTAATAATTATTAAACACCAAATCTTTATTTATCAAAAGTAAGTACTACAGGATAAGTGGTAACCTATTGTTATGCGAGTAGTTTTATTTTTCGGAAGCCCCGCGTAAAATTATGAAAGCGCCTCATTCGAGAATGCAATGAGTAGCAGTTTTATTTTTCCAACTGGAAAGGCAAAGGTATCATACCACACTGCCTAATCTTTTATAAATTTGGGGCGGAAATTTAATATCAGTACAATGCTGGTCATTTACTGAGACTTTTTCAGTTGACTTTTTGGAGGATCCCGAGAAGTTACGTTCAGCGGCTTTGTTTCATTTTCCCACATTTGTGCCCTTTCACAGATACAAACAGTTAATAAATCACTGTTATTACACATTTAAACCTGAAGAAACACGTAAAAGCGTTTTTAAAATTATGAATTCTAGTTTTAATAAAAACAATGTTGTTTTTAACATCGATAGTACAATTTTAATATTTTGCTCACTTAATAAATTTGTTAAGTGTATTTATTTCTTTTTGAAAGGTAATAGGCACAGACAGTGGAAACTGACCTTGGAAATATGTATATCATGGGGTCGATTCGTATCTCCTGGTCGGACTCCATGTACTTGATCACCTTCAGCCCGAAGGTCATAAACTCTCCGTCGAAGAACCTGTTCATCAAGAACATTTGCCCTGGAATGAAAAACAAAACTTTTATTATTGCGAAATGTGGAAGATCTCAAAGATATAATATATTTTACGGATCTATGTTTTAAAGATTTATACTTTTACATTTTTTTTTAAATATTTATGTATTTGCGAATGGATCGCATATAATCAATAAATACGATAATTATAAACTATCATAAAGTTTTGTAATTCATTTAAATTATTACTGGCTATTGACCACAAGATACGAGTATGCTAACTTCGAGCTCGAAGATCTTACTACTTTTCTGTTACTATGTTTCTTAAACAACTGCCTTCATTAAGGCATTATACTTATTATCCTCGTGCCTTTTTTAATCTATATTTAGATCATAGATTACATATAATAGACTTTTTGGCGGGAACGCGAGGAGTGAAGTTGTGTGATTTGTTTTATTTTGTCTATTTAGTGTTTCTTCAGGTTTAAATGTGTAATAATGGTGGTTTATTAACTGTTTAATATCTGTGAAAGTGTACAAATGTGGGAAAATGAAACAAAGCTGCTGGACGTAACTTCTCGGGTTCCTCCAAAAAGTCCACTGAAAAAATCTCAGTAAATGACCACCATTTTACTGCGATTATATTTCATCCCATATCATCTCATTTCATTAAATTCATTCCAGTTGATTAATGTCTCAAATTAATCATCTTCATTTTATTTCACTCCATATTATCATTTTTCATAAAATTAAGAATATGAAGTAAAATAAGACATGACTTAAAGGTCTTAGTTACCAGGTCATAAAATCTCTTAAAAAAAAAAAAATTACATATAATAATAATAAACTATTTCCCGCCATATGTATTCGTTGTTCGGAAGGATAATTCAAAATGAGAAAATAACCTTTATAAGATATCTATTACTTCTTTAAATAAAGTGGTTAATGAAATATTAATATCCCATTGTAATATACAAGGACTGATGTCGATTTTTCAACTATTATTGCGAATCGGTAATGACTTTATTATTTGAAACCTAATTCCGGAACGTAAGCGTTTTTTTTGTGTACAGTGGTAAAATTTGTTTTTTTTTTGTCAATTCCCTTAGCTCGTGGATAGCATCGCAAGTTAAACATGTTCTAGAACTAAAATATTAGCTGTGGCCATCTGTCGCGACGCGTGGCGCTCTGAATTATAAATTAGTTGCACTCAAAGAGCTCGCAATGTTCAAGGAAAATAAATTAAATAAAATTTTCAAAATTATTCATTGAGGATGACTAGATGAATTTTTTCCTTCTTTCTTTGATTCCGGGTTTTATTCTTTCGTTTTCTATAAATTTTAACGTTTCGGAATATTTCCCGGTTTGCGTAGGCGTTTGTTTGTGCGAATTGTAAAATTAACGCGAAAATATAAGTTTATCAATCGATTCATTGTAAGATAGATTTAAAAAATTGCTACAGAACAGCCATCGCCTACTTCTAACTATGTAATACTGTCTCCATATCGACGCTTGAAAGGCAAACGTGACTAAGCGACAATGCGTGAACTTTACAGTAGACTAATTTAAAGTTGAAATACCTGATAAAAAAATTATATTAACGAATCTAGCTGTAGGGTTGAAGTGATTTTAATAGACCTAAAAATATATATTTTTTGCGCATCGAATATGGTTATTGCCAATCATTTATGTACAAAGCAGTTATTGTCGCTTAGTCACGTTTGCCTTTCAAGCGTCGATATATTATTATTATAAACAAGCTGAGAAAACCCGACGATCGCGAGCTCTTAGTCTAGTCCAAGCGTGCATCGAAGCGTCGACCGTTGTAAATCATAACATATTGAATTAAAACCAATATAAAAATAAGCTATTTCAGCAAAACACCAGTTTTTATATGAAGGGTCCGTCCGAGCTGTCGTCAACGCGTGCACGAAATGCACAATAAAAACGTTGCTGACGGAAGTTATTTTTTTGTTTCAGGAGCCAAAACAGAGGAGGGGATTAGTATTTTATTAAAACTTTACGATGGCTTAATGTTTTGCTGTGTTTTTAGTTTTGTCTTTTATTAGCCAGAGTAGGAGCAGTTAAAAGAACGGACCGCCTGCTTTTGGCGCGAAGCATGCGATTAGAACAGCTACAGTAATACAGACGAGAATTCGCCTCCGTAAAACAAGGTGAGTGTGCCGAACCGGCGAAGTCCTGAGTTTTTATTACGGTAACCACCAAATACCAGGTTGGTCGTAAGCTTGGCTATTAATTGGCAAAGAGAATGGCTTGTTTATCATGCTAGTGACCTCTGTAGCGGTTCCTATTAACTATATCATAGTATGTTTTTACATTTAGAAAATACTGACAAAGTAACCTCTATGGTTATGCAACGTATTTAAAAAAAATCTTGATTCAGAAGAGTGTAGCGTTTTGAATGATGCCGAGTATCTCTTGCAACATAGTGCCAGAACTTCATGTTGGATAAAAAAAGATAATAATTACCTATAACATTGACAAGGGCAAGCGCTTCGCACAGGTAGTACCTGTAGGCCCACCAGTTGTGGTACCTCAGGTTTTCCCACAGATAGTCCAGGATTAGTTTCTTTTTTGTCTTCTTCTCTATCTCCGTGCAGACTGCGACGTCTAGGTCCATCATGAGGGCGCGGATCTTGCCGCCCTCCCAAGATTTCCACAGCCACCGCGGGGCGTAGAACAGCATTGCCTGAAATTGTTTTTTATTATTATATTATTTTTAACCGGATTGCCATGATGAAACTACGAGTTTTTATGTATTTATTGCCTAGACGAGCTCACGGCCAACCTAGTCTTAAATGGTTACTGGAGCCCATAGACATCTACAATGTAAATGCGCCATCCACCTTGAGATATGAATTCTAAGGTCTCAGTATAGACTATAGTAAGGACGGCTGCCCCATCCTTCAAACCGAAACGCATTACTGCTTCACGGCAGAAATAGGCATGGTGGTGGTACCTACCCGTGCGGACTCATAAGACGTCTTCCCACCAGAAATTATGCGGCTTTGATTTTTACTACACGACTAGCTGACCCGGCAAACGTTGTTTTGCCATATATGCGCCATCTATTGATTACTTACTCAACCCAGTCGAAAGGTATCGACATCTGTTAGAATCATTTGGAGTTAACAGATAATTGTGACTGTCAAATAATAACAGACAAATAATTAGCAATAAATTAAAATTGCGACATAATTTGAGATTTAAACTATCCTATCTCTCAAGTTGGATCGAACTGCACATGGTGTGCGAATTTTATTATAATGGGTTAAGTGGTTTAGGAGTCTATTGAGGACAAACATTGTGACACGAGATTTATATATATTAAGATGTTGTTCCTTTACCGTGGAAGTCAATCGTGAACATTTGTTAAGTACGTATTTCATTGGAAAAATTGGTGCCTGCCCTTGGGATTCGAACACTGATGCATCGCGCGACATATGAATGCACCGGACGTCTTATCCTTTAGGCCACGTGGTAATTATGAGCGCTTTAAACAGAAACTCATTGCAGCTTCACGGCAGGGTGTTGGTACTTACCTAAGCGGGCTCCCAACACCCTGCCATCAGCATTTGTGACATACTTTGGAAGAGAAACACTGACTTATTTTGGAAATATTAGCAGGACTGGCAGCTGACACTCAATCATTTGTGTTAGTTGAAACTAAACCATAAGTTGACGCAACTAAACGCCTCGTCAGCGTAGTGAGTACAACGCCTGACGATAAATTTTCGAAGCGAGACGGTTCACAATCTGTTCTAGTTGCTTTCGTCGGCGGCTCTAAGCGCTGGTGCGCTGACAGAAATAATAACGTGCGATTGACGGCTTTATAGACGTTTTTTGTGGCCGCACCGATCTAGATTTACATTCTATTTTCGATTGCATTTCACTACCATCAATGTTGTTAGCGTTTTATGCACGCGGTACCCGGTATAAGCGGAGCCCGCAACGTTTTTGCATGGACGACTTCTTTTGTAGTTCACATTTTATTTGTTTAATAACATATAAAACGACTGTAGCTATATAGTAGAGGTCACAAGTTAATAAATAGTAGTTTAAAAAAACTAACAAAATACGCTTTTATAGAAAATCCAATAAAAAAATAGAAAATAAATTTTAATAAATTTGAATTAAAAATAGTGTAAGAAAAATTTTCTTTTTTTTATTGCTTAGATGAGTGGACGAGCACATAGCCCACCTGGTGTTAAGTGGTTACTGGAGCCCATAGACATACACAACGTAAATGCGCCACCCTCCTTGAGATATAAGTTCTAAGATCTCAGTATAGTTACAACGGCTGTCCCACCCTTCAAACCGAAACCCATTACTGCTTTACGACAGAAATAGGCAGGATGTTGGTAGCTACTCGCGCGGACTTATAAGAGGTCCTACCACCAGTAAGCCCTTGTGCCTCTGGCATAACACTAGGCAGCGGCATGGCTCTGCCCTTGGCATTGCCAGTCCATGGGCGACGGTAACCACTCACCATCAAGTGGGCCGTATGCTCGTCTGCCTACACGGGCAATAAAAAATAAATAAAAAAGCAATCATATTTTCAATATTCGTATACTACAATGCTGTATATATCAAGTAATTTTATAGCTTCCTACTATTTTTACATCCAAACATGAGGCAAGCGATGACAAGAAGTCCCAATGTTTCACAGACGAGCAGGTCTACTCGCTCGCGTGTGACGCACGATAAGATATCGTTCAACCAAGAATACGTCGCTTGCAAATGTGTTCGAAAAAAAAAAGTGATATTTTGTTTGTCAGACATACCCGACGGGGTTTTGCTGCAAAGATGTTTTTGTTTTCACGTTCGACATTTATGTACCTTGCGCTTTGGTGGGGCATTCTTTTCAATCACCGCCTGTGTACGAAATTCTAGCTTTCCTACCATAAGTTGTCTTAAGATCTTGACTTAAAACTATTTTTAAAGCTTCAGAAATTAGATGAAATTCGTTGTTATATTTGACTTATATATCTTTAGACAAGACTAGGTGTAATCCGGCTCAGAAATCTTTTTTCTACGTATCTGCTGGTAGTCTAAAGGGATATTGCAGCTACGCCCGGACGTGTAGGTGAGCTTACGGGCTCAACCTGAGAGAATTTGCTAACACTAGCAAGAGCAGTGCTTCGCAGAATCTACCACGGGATCGGAAACGCGGCCCACTAAGAAGATCCGGCGAGAAACTAAGTGGGCTGAATTCTTTCACAGCACACTTAATATCTAAGCGTAGGATCAGTTTTTTTTTATTGTTTAGATGGGTGGACGAGCTCACAGCCCACCTGGTGTTAAGTAGTTACTGGAGCCCATAGTCATCCACAACGCAAATGCGCCACCCACCTTGAGATATAAGTTCTAAGGTCTCAAGTATAGTTACAACGGCTGCCCCACCCTTCAAATCGAAACGCATTACTGCTTCACGGCAGAAATAGGCAGGTATGGACTGGTTACTGGACAGGTGAAGTCAGAGAATAAAACGAAGTCATTACCAAGTGAGGTGGTCTCGTAACGACATTCGATATTCTCATTCGAATTCGGGAAATTGCAAGTGTAACTTTGCCGCATCTCTAATGCATTACCGCGTCTATATGTGGACCACTTACAAGCGTCGGTTCGCGAGTACTATTGCAAAATTGCGTGTTATTTTAGTGTTGCAATAAACATACAAGTCAAGGGCTCGATTTACGTGTTAATTTACGTACCCGATTCGTAATTCGCAGCTACGCAAATAATAATTTCTAATTATCGATTAGTTTTTCGTTAAAATCGATTTTTTGTTTTTTTTGCTTTGAAAAACAAAAACATTTTTTTCGTTTTGGTGATGGCAAAACTGAGAATTCTTTTTAGATTTGGTTTTTGTAAAATCGTTGAGAGGTTAATGAGAGATGGCCGATGGTAACCACTCACTATCTGGCGAGCCGTATAATCGCCTGCCTACGAGAACAATAAAAGGAAAATATATATTCTTGTTTGACTCTTCAAGGAATGGTTTTTATTTTTTTTATTGTAGGATTACTGGTAGCCCGGAGGCCTTTCCAGTTTCACCAGAACAGGACAAGGAATGGAGCGTGGTGGATATTTGTTTGCATGACTCATGCTGGTATCACTGAATTTCTATGTAGCTCTACCATAATAAGAACTTGAAATTTAAACATAGATTTTTCCCGCTTGAAAAAAAACATCAAGGCTTAGTGCTGATGATCGCTAACAAGAATCATGAATAATGAAGTCACTCAGAGCAAAACTAGAATCATGATTTGTATTTCCCAATTAACTTCCATGTTTGATTAAAAATATCTATAGTAACTGACAATCAAAGCTCGAAAACTAATCAAATTCAAATCCAACTGTCTTGTTCGAAATTCGAATATCGAACGCATCGATCATCCGCGTTCCGTTTTACGCTGCGCGCCCATCGACAGCGACGCTGATTTATCCTCTGCAACACAATGCGAGTGTGCTAACTCATTTACCCTTAGTTTTTTTTTTTTTACGTTTTTGACAATCATACTTTTTATTTGTGTTACATACATCACGAAACACATTGTTGATAGCCAGCAATAAAAATGTGTGCAGTTAGAAAAAAAAAAATTAGTTATTTTTATTGCAAATCCGGGTGCTAAGCTAAGCTAGTGCTTATAGCCCATCTGTCTATAGACATCACATCTCAATTGCTTACACTTTTATTACAGTTTTTTGCGGTTTCGTTTTTCTTACGCAATGTTTATTTCTTCATCGTGGAAATCATTGTCGCACCTAAGCTAAATACGTATTTCATTCGAAAAATCAATATCTGTTTGCGGGATTCGAACTTAAGCACGGTTGCATCACTTGATACTAGTACCTACACCGGGCGTTATATCCCGTGGACCATGACGACTTCAAAATGAAATTTAAAATTCTATTTATTTTTATTGCTTAGATGGGTGGACGAGCTCACAGCCCACCGGAGCCCATAGACATCTACAACGTAAATGCGCCATCCACCTTGAGATATAAGTTCTAAGGTCTCAAGTATAGCTACAACGGCTGCCCCACCCTTTAAACCGAAACGCATTACTGTTTCACGGCAAAAATAGGCAGAGTGGTGGAACCTACCCGCGCAGACCCCCAAGAGGTCCTACCACCAGTGCACCTACCTTCTTACCTCATTCGATAATATAGAATACAAAAAGAACAAAACTTTAGAAATAGGTACATACTTTAAAATATTATGAAAAATATTCGTGGTATGAATTGCAAGTATCTTATTGTCTAAATGGGAACAAATCACGCACGGATTCTCTGTGTTATGAGAGACTGATATACATATAAAATAGATAATAAACACCCAGCCAAAAGCAAAGAAACCCGTTCATGCTGCGAACGTTTGCCCGAAGTGGGAATCGAACCCACGACCCACGGTGCAACAGTCAGGGCCGCTAACTACATCACCACCGAGTCAGTAAAATCTTCTCACGTTCAATTGTTTTCATTAATATCAACCCGAAACAATTCAAACAATGACTGAACACAAACTCACATGCAACAGAACTTCATTCTACTCAAAAGTAATACCAACCTGAAAATAAAACTGAACTGCCAACAAACCGAAGCCTAAACCAAAATATTAAGACATCAATTCACAAAACGCTTTTTTGTTTTTCATAAACAAGAAAATACAATATGAATTTCGAC